AGATCAGATTTCATTTCTCCAGTGAGGAGAGTGAGTCGAGCTGACTGACAAGAAGAGTGAGGTGAGACAGACAAGAAGAGTGAGGTGAGACAGACAAGAGGAGTGAGGTGAGACACAAGAAGAGTGAGGTGAGACAAACAAGAAGAGTGAGGTGAGAGACAAGAAGAGTGAGTCGAGCTGACTGACAAGAAGAGTGGGGTGAGACACATGTTTACTTAGCCTATTTCCAGTTTTGTATACCTATTTAAACTTTATGTAAGTTATTGGTTATTTTATATTAGGCATAGCCTGCCCTATAGCATGGTGTATTTGTTTTGTTAATAAAAGTTCTATTTTTTATATATAGGCTAAAGTGAGTTTGACATTGTATTTTTTTGTAGCATTCAAGCAATTGATGCCGAACTGCCACTAATTCAAAAGTAAAAGTAAATTGCGCACAGCTATTTAAAAGCGACGGAAAGCGAGGAAAAGAGGGAGACAAACTTAATATCATTATAAACAGTTTATGGGTGTGTGATGCATTCTGCTGTGGTTTAAGGTGGTCTGCAGACTGAGGGAAGCTGGATTCATGGCTGATATTGATGATGATCGTGGAAGCACCTTAAATAAGAAAATCCGCTCGACACAGCTCGCACAGTACAATTATATATTCGGTACAGATTCATTCTGATGTGTTTTCATACAGAAATGCTTCCTCGTGTCGCAGTTTATTTGTGCAGTTGTATGCGGTGCAGAAATGACACTTCACCTTTAAGTGTTTTAATGGTTTAATTGTTCCCTGCTGGTACATGTGTAAAGAATGAGTGTTCTGGGGCCTGTTAGGAAAAGGTCAGATAAACAAACCTCTCCCTGTGTTTGTCATGCAGTGGTGGGAGAGAAGGAGTGTGAGCGTGCGGACGAGAGCAGGGAAGCAGCTCGGCCAGGAATCACTGCAGGAAGTGATGCGCTCACTGAAGGAACTCAGACAGACAGAGTTGTAAACGCTCACGTGACACACACCACGACAGGACCTTTATATGAGCTGTTATCAGCTTCATCAGATCCCTGTTGAGTTCTACAGACACACAAACTCATTCATTTCAGCAGTGGACCTCTGAACCTGATGTGCTGTTATTTTATTTATAATAAAATTATAAATTACTTTTAATATTCAGTCTCTCTGTTTCCCTGTCAACATACATAGTAATTAAGACTCTTAACTTTATTGAGTCATTTAAACAGATCAGTAATTCATGAATGAATATATGAAAAGGTTGTTTTTTTTTATGGACCAATAAAAAATTCTGAGGATTGATTATTTTATTTATTTATGTATGTATGTAACTTTGGATCAATATTTATAATTAATTATTTTTAATTAATAGGTTTAAAAAAAAAAAAATTCAGTATAACAACATAAATACCAATTATTCAATTTAATTTTAAATACCACACTATATTTCTCTCAGGGTACAAATGTGTCCTAAATTATATAACTGCATTTATATTTTAAGAAGTGAGGTAGTTGGTAAGAGGATCAAATATATTTGGGGGTCCTTTACATCAAAATTTGAAAAACCCTGGTATAAATCAAAGGTTAATTCATTTAAATTCACAAGGGTAAGCATTATATTATGTTGACGGCAAGATGTTTTTTTTATTCTTTTATTTATAATAACATAATAAATTTAAATGACTTTTAATATTAATATATTTGAGATATTTTTGTCTTTTTTTATGTTTTTGCTTTGGATCCATGTTTTTGATGTGGAAATCACTTTTTTAAATTAATATATTTTTTTCCTTTTGGCTTTATAATATAAACGGCAATTATTTAATTATTATTATATATATTTTTTAATTTATTTTTCGTTTATTTTTAATATCAGTTTTTCTCACAGAGTACAAATTAGTCTTAAATTATATAGCTGCATATATTTTTTAAGAATTGAGGTCTTTTGCAAAGGTATCATATTTCACTTAAAAAAAAAACTGGTTTCAAAGTTGAAATAAGTAAATTCACAAAAGAAAATCCAAAAGCAAACAATAGTTAGCTAACCATGCTTTTGGGAAACATACAAGGTTGCTATGACACGGCCCCACCTTCAATCAAGCTCCATTAATAGTGTGTATTATTATTAATTCATGTTATTTGACCTTGTATCCATTACCAAGTCTCCAAACAGTTATCCATTTGTGTTAATGCATAAATAGCAGCAGCAGCATCAGGGGTGTTGATGAAACAGGATAAAGCAGCACAGGTCACCCGCTGGTGTTTTTGCCTTATTAGAAGAAAGGCGTCATAATGGAGAGGACATGACTCACATGGGCGACCCCAACAAATGTATACCGGATCCACAAAGGGCACCAAAAAAGACTTTCCAGACGTTTTATCTGATGCACGTATGAAAGAGGGTGACATGATGGAGTGTGTGCAGGGGTTATGGGACTTTGGGACTCTCTCCGCAGACCGAAGCCAAGCCAGAAAGAGAAAGACACATTGAGATCTGAGGAGGCAAGCTCATGGCCTGGTTCTGCTTGAGGACTCATTAAAGTGCTCATGGGAAGCATTTAAGCTTCCACTGGACCTGAGAGAAGACATATCCTACCAAAAAAATACACACTTAAGTTTAGTACTTAATGTTAAGGGTTTTAGTCACATAGTAAGTATGTGCAATAGGAATGCTTAACTTACACTCTTTGAATGCAAAATCTTGCATACAGAGGTCTCATTTCTTTAAAGGGGTCCTGAAATGAGAAACCAAAATTCCCTTGATCTTTTGAGATATAAGAGCTCATTGTGCTATAAAAGCATCCTGTAAGTTTCAGAACTCAAATCTTTCTCGTTAGTCTAAAAACAGCTTATACTGAAGCCAGTCTGCCAAACAACAGCTTGTGGAACAGTATTTGGGGCAATGCATTACAAGTAATGCGAGTTACGTAATCCAATTACTTTTTAAGTAACTAGTAAAGTAACGCATTAATTAATTTAGAAGGAATTATCTGAGTTACTTTTTCAAATAAGTAATGCCAGTTACTTTGTTTCCAATGTATTGACTGACAGCTCTGGCATTGCCATGGTGACAGAAATCAGGAGTAAGTGCAGAGGCGTTGTGTTTGAACATGATCTTACTGTAGTTCTAGTCTAAATATGAACATATATTTACTTATCACCTGCACAAAAACAGATTCAGTATTCCTCAAAATGAATAAAAACAGTCAAATGCAAACTCAGAATATTATACAAACCTGCAATAATTAAATGTTAAATAAGACAAATATCATTTATGTATTTAATCTGATGAATAAATCTAAATTTTCGACTTGTCAGTTAGATCCTCTACCAACTCCTTTAGTGAAAGCTTGTTTACCAGCCGTCGCCATTGATTACTAAAATTGTTCACACTTCACTTGTTTCTGGTTCTGTACCTCCATCTCGTAAATCTGCTATTATTACTCCCATACTTAAGAAACCAGGGGCTGATCCATTTTACTTTGATAATTTTCGTCCAATTTCAAATTTACCATTTATCTCTAAGATAGTGGAAAAGTGTATTGCGATTCAAATTCATGAACATCTCTCTAATAATAATTTGTATGAACAATTGCAATCTGGTTTTCGTCCCCACCATAGCACTGAGACTGCTCTTGTCAGAATAACCAATGATCTGTTGCTGGCAGCTGACTCTGGGCTTTTAACCATACTTGTCCTTCTTGACTTGAGCGCTGCCTTTGATACTGTCTCACATAAGATACTTCTCGACAGGTTAGCTTCTATTGGGATTACTGGCACTGCTCTGACTTGGTTTAGGTCGTATCTCTCTGGACGCACTCAGCGTATTCAATTAAAAAGTTTCAGATCAAGAACATCTACAGTCACCACTGGTGTTCCCCAGGGTTCTGTTTTGGGCCCGCTTCTTTTCATTATTTATATACTCCCTCTTGGTTATATTTTGAGGAACATGGTATTCATTTTCATTGTTATGCGGATGACACCCAACTTTACCTGTCTGCCAAACCCACTGGTTCTTTTCCTCCACCATCTTTGTCCAGCTGTTTAGCTGAAATTAAAGATTGGCTTTCAGCTAACTTCCTGAAGTTAAATTGCAACAAAACTGAGGCCCTACTTGTTGGCACTAGATCTGTTTTGGCTAAATCTAATTGTTTTTCTTTGTACATTGACAACAATGCAAGCTGTCCTTCCTCTCAGGTTAAAAGTTTGGGTGTTATCATGGATAGCACACTATCTTTTGAAACTCAAATTAATAATATCACGCAGACTGCATATTTCCACTTGCGTAATATAAACCATCTCCGTCCCTTTCTCTCAACCAATAATACAGCAGTTCTTGTTTACGCACTAGTCACTTCACGTATAGACTACTGTAATGCCCTTCTCACTGGTGTTCCCTCTAAATTGCTACATAAGCTCCATTTGGTTCAGAATTCTGCAGCTCGTGTTCCCTCTACTGAGCACATTTCTCCAGTTCTTCAGCAATTGCACTGGCTTCCAGTAAAATATCGAGTTGAATTCAAAATCTTGCTACTTTCAAGGCACTTCATAATCTTGCACCCCAATACCCTTACTCAACTTCTTCATGTTTACACCCCTTCACGTGCTCTCAGATCCTCATCTTCAATTTATCTTGTGGTACCTCGGATTCGACTAACTACCATGGGTGTACCTTCGGTGCTTTGAAAGGTCGCCATTAAATAAAATGCATTATTATTTTTATTATTATTAATCGCATTTTATTAATAAATGTCTTTGCTACTGACCTTCGATGATCCAATTCAACCATACTAATAAGCAAAAATGACATTTGTATTTCATTTTTGTTATTGCTGAATAGTGTTGAACTTTCTTCACCTGCGCCATATTCTTCATGCTATTTTTTTGAGCTGCGCCCTCTACTGTACAGACGTGAATTTACAGTCCCTCAGCCTGAGGCGTATTTATTTCACTTTTATTATGAAAGGGCTTTTACGCTTGAAAAATAAGAACTTTTTTATATTAAAAACAAGCAAGCCCTGCCCAGATTTAAAAAGTAACTCAAAAGTAATATAACATTACTTTCCATAAAAAGTAACTAAGTAATGTAATTAGTTGCTATTTTAGAGAGTGACGCAATATTGTAATGCATTACTTTTAAAAGTAACTTTCCCCAACACTGTTGTGGAATATACAACTCTGTGATGCAATAGTGTGTGGATAAGCACTGCCTCCGCAGAAGATGATCAACACCTGCTTCTACATAGCTGCCTGTTTAGTCCTGCCTACCGATTCTGTCATGATGATCATGAATGATGATTATCAAAGCTTGGCGCATCATACCCAAAAAGATTTGAGGCTGTAATTGGTGTCAAACTTGCTTCGACAAAGTATTGAGCAAAGGCTGTGAATACTTATGTGCAGTACATGTGATTCATTTTTTATTTTTAATAAATTTGCAAAGATTTCAAACAAACTTCTTTCATGTTGTCATTATGGTGTATTGTTTGTAGAATTTTGAGGAAAAGAATGAATTTAATCCATTTTGGAATAAGGCTGTAATATAACAAAATGTGGAAAAAGTGAAGCGCTGTGAATACTTTCCGGATGCACTATGATGTTTTTTGGATGTAAAAATCTTGATAACATTATAAGGGGACCTCAGAGAACAGTACAAAATAAAATAAAAAACAGAGGCAGTTCATGACCCCTTTAAAATAATTTACTTTCTCTTGGAGCCAAAAACAGAAACTACGTCATGCTAGGAATGGCATATCTTCCTCTGTCGTCCCACACACAAACACTCCCCTGCACAAGGTCATTCTTCATTCAGTGGGCAATGTTGCAGAAGTTCACCGGGGGTTATTTTAGGCCTGCAGTGGTTTAGGAGTGTTTACAGCTCCGCGTGCATGAGGCGGCATGTTTGATGATATATAAGTATGGGCACGGGTTTGCTAATGGTGTCGGCTGCATATAGATATGTAAAACCTTTCCGTGAAAGAGTGGTGACATTGACATGAACGGAGGGAAACGACAGGCCTTCCTGCATTGCTCTGAGAAGGTCTGACTATCAGTGAGAGCATGTCAAGCAGGAATGATTAAGGGACACACTTAAAATAATCCGCCATGAGCTCCTGC